CTACACCCCAATTTGGGTGATCTAATTTTGGGGGAAAAGCTATGTATTATATGTGAGAAAATACAAATACATAATCTCATAAAACTGTCTATTACAGCATTTTATAACACACAGTGGGTGCACCTATATGATTCCTTTTTCTACTGTGCATTAGCATGTCATGGCAAAAACCATGATAATGTGCTAATGCACAGTAGAATTAGTCTACTGTGCCTTAAGTTCACAAAAAAGCAATGTTCACCTTTGCTACTGTGCATTAGCGCAGCTGCTGTGCCTTTATCTAGTATCTCATATTAGAGGTACTAAACTTAATGCGCAGCAGCAAAGGTGCATAATGAATGTGTAGACACACCCAGTGTAAGTCAGTGGACCATGGGGGTGTTGGTAGGTCCAGGGAGTGGGTGTTGAGAGGCTAAAAATAGCCCAGTCAGGGTCAAGAGTGGGAACAGTACAGTCCTAGGGCTGGGGCAAGTGGCTGGGCTTTCCCAGCCCTGAGGCTGCAATGCAAATGTATATAGGCATTCACGAGATCAGGTCCAGGGGTGGCCAACCTGTGGCTCCGGAGCCACGTACGGCTCTTCAGAAGTTAATATGCATCTCCATGAATCTTTGCATAAGCACACGGTGACCAGCTTCCATAGCCATCATGTCATGTGATGTGACTGCTCGCAGCGAGCACATTACTCAGTTTGGACTTGGAAGTTTGGACTCCGGAGCCGTTGGTTGGCCACCCCGGTACCCTTTCTTAGATCAGGTGAACCTAATCTCAATTCAAGTTAGTGCACCTACTCGGGTGAAATGACTTGGATCAGGTGCACCATTTTTGGGGTGATTTAAGCCCTCTGCATGCCCATATGATTGGGGATGAAGATCAACCTAACCCTGGTTAGAGCAATCTAATGTAATGCCTGTGTGTACCCAGTGAGACTACTATTCAACTGAGTTTGTGTACTCTAGTCTGAATGACTTCAGAGTCCGGCTATGCTTCTTTAGACACGTTACTATTTCAAATTTACTTCTAATCAGGAATTGTATTGTTTCACAAATGAGAAATTAAAAAAGTATGATGCTGCCTTTCTGTAATATTCAAACATATTTCTGAACAATCTGTTTCAGCCATTTCTCTGTGCTGTCTTGTAATATTTCAAGCTATCTACTTCACTCTGTATTTGGCATTTTTTCATTTGTAGGAAATGCATCATTCACTATTACATTATTTAAAAGTTTGATCTTAAAAAGTCCTTTATGAGCCAGATCCTCAGCTGATGTAAATCACTGCAGCTCTAGTGAAGCCAAAAAAGCCACAGTGACTGACATCAGTTGTGTCAGTAAATACCAAAAAGATGGATTTAAAACTTTTTCCAAAACAAAAGATTTTTGAAGATGGATTAAACAACATAAATGCTGAGCTGTTTTGCTAGACTGCAAACGGCATAACACATTCTTTGTGTGACATCTCTGAATTATCCCTTGGTGGTAATGTTGACATTACATTATATTGACTCATGGAAGAAGCTTAAATACCCTTTTAAGTTTTCAAGACTCTTTGACAAAGCACTATTTCATTAACAAAATGCTAATGAAATCTAGGAAGCCTGAACATACAGTATAGTCTGCTGGTTTCAAGGAGGTCTGTTCAGTGATCAAGAGATGGGAGTGCAACAGCACAGTATAATTTTCATTTCAGAATAGCAGAAAGGCACCATCTGATCGGAGCAGTCATCACTGGAGGTCTACCACATCTTGTTTGAGAACGGCCAAAATAACATGAGCGAGCAAGAACATGTAATACAAAAAATGTTTCACACGTGGTTGTTTTTTTCATGAAAAAATGAGGTGGCCATATAATTCTGCGTACTATACACAGGGCTGTGCGAAACAGCATCGTTCCGATTCGACTTCCATTTCAACGATTTGACTGAACAGTGTTTTGTTTCAAGTTTCATTTCATTTTGAAACCACTTTCATTTTGTTTTGTTGAAACTGTTTTGCTGTTTTGATGCTGTTTCGATGATTCAACCATAGGTTATTATGGGGAAACATAAAAGGCAGCAGGCAGGCAGATCGGGGACTCCCCTGCACCCTCAGGAGGGCTGCTGGGGTTGTGCCCGAGTCCTTCCAGGTGTGTGAGCCCGGATCTGCCTGCCAGATGAGAGAAGCCAGGTGCTGTCACCTGGGACCAGTGCAGGGAAGATCACTGCTCCCACCAGTCCCAGGCAGCAACACCCAGCTCGTGTCAACTGGCAGGCAGATCAGGGGCTCGCAGGCCCAGGAGGATTCTGGCATAGCCCCCGCAGTCCTTCTAGGGGTGCAGGGAGCCCCTGATCTGCCTGCCGGATGACAGGAGGTGAGTACTGCTGGCTGGGGCTGGTGCTGAAGCCAGTAAGCCTGACTTCAAAACTTAAAACATTTTGAAACTTTCACTTCCAAACTGTTTCAAAGGCTTTTGTTTCATTTTGATTTCGCTGTTTCAAGCTTGAAACGCATTGAAACAGCTTCAGTACAAAATGCCAGGTTAAATTTTGCACAGCCCTACTATACAGTGTATTTACATAAGTCATTTTCAGCAGAAGCCAATTATGAGCCAAGAACTAAGACTATTGGCTCTTAGTATTCTGCTCTCAATAAGAAAGCTCTCTGTTTTTTCATTGTTTCACATTGGTGATAAACATTATTATTGGAATAGGGGTTTACATTACTATATAAACAGTGAGGATAATGGAGTCAGTTATGTCGGCTAGGAGAGATTCAAATTTGGACTATCCACTCTTCATCTTTCTTTTGTCTACCAGCTCGCTTGCCAGGGGCATAGGCTGGCTCTTCAAAAATGTACAAAACCTATGACTGACTGTACATAGCTTCTCAGTAAGCAATGATGTACACTTTGGTAATGGGCTGGTTATGTGGAAGAAGTTGCAAGTGTAACTAGAAACCTGTTGTTAGTTTTCCAATTGGATAGGTTCTGTCACTGGGTTACACAAACAATTTTACTAGATGAAATCATTAGGGACTCTCAGTTCTGATATTTTCATTTTCCATTTTCTATGCGTCCACGTTTATAATACAAAGTACAGGAGGAAAGTGGTTTTTGGATCCCACAATATTGTTCAACCTTCCAGTAATTTTCCCATCCCATATTGGGACAAAACTGAGACCTTGAGAGATCTTGGCCCTCCCAAGATAACCAGCAACCTACTGGTTAGGACATACATATGGCATGTGGAAGACCTAGCTTCAAGCCCCTGCTCTGCTTCATTCAGAGTACAGACTTGAATTTCAGTCTCCCACATTCCTGTTGAGTGCTTCAACAATATAAATAATTATTGACTTATTGGGCCAGAGAGAAAGACTGACTCAATAGGCCAGGGGTTGGTGCCCTCACCTGGAATGTAAAAAGACTGAGGTTTAAATCCATAACTACTTAATTATTTATAAGAAATGGAATTACATTAAGAGGAGGAACTGAGATGTTCAGTACAGAACAACAAGGGCCTGATGGGCAGAGCACTCTTATGGAAAGAGAGTGAGTCTCTGGACTTCAAGTCCTTAGGATAAATCAGGCAGACTTGAAGTTGGACCTACCCTATCCCAGGAAAGTAACCAAATCAATGGCCTGAGGACCACTTAGGGTGGGTATTCCCACAAACAGTATCAGTTTTAATGATTCAGCATTTCCTGAGGAAAATCCCTTTTGCCAAAAATGTTCTGACTAGTGCAACACAGAAAAAGAACCCAGAAAAAAAGCTTGTTACTAGGTGAACTCATACTTCCTTCAGCAGAGAAGACAATAAGACTGGCATCATTAGATGATGGTAGGTACCTTACTGATCAGTAAGGGCTTGCTGCTCTATCTAAACGATGTTCATCACAGCAAGCAACCTTCATCAATGGAAGGATATGGACTCAAATAGTGGATACCTGACTAGTAAT